CAGTTCACACTTACTGTACCTCCATTGACTTCAATGGGCCTGATTCTCCTATTACTTATACAGTTGCAAATTAGCAGCAGTAATTTCATTCAAGTCAGTGGAGTTATAGCAGTATAAAAGTGGTGCGAGATGAGAATCTAACCCAATGAGTTTACATTTGCTATAAATTAGGGTAGAATTTGGCCCGCTGACCTCAATAACAGACGTACAATAGAAGGTGTACAGAGAATGTAGGATCAGACCCAGTGTGTTTTTGGTATTATATATCATAGCTATAGTGTAGATAGGAGCACATGATTAGGTTCCTTTGTACTACAGAACTCTTCTGTAAATTAATGTATTCTCAGCCTAAAACAGGCATATTTCACACTGGAATAGGACACAGTATATCTGCTTTCTAATAAATCATTTTCTCATTCCATTTTGTTGAGAAAATTGGTTAAATTTTCCTTTAAAATAGTTTAATGTTTGATATAAAATGTTAAAAAAAAAAGCCATGGTGAAGGGTTCTATTCAGAAGAGAACAAATGGTGCTGTAAAGGGACCCTTGGCATAAGTCCAACATAATCTTCTTTCATGTTAACCTTCCTCTGAGAATTCAGAGAAGTAGAAGAGTTTCTGAGAGAGGATCCTGTGAACTTCCTGATATGAACATAAGATCACTTTGAGAGAACTGCATGTTTTCATGCAATCATATTTCCTGGCCAGATATAATGTTGCCTTTGGGGAAACTTCCACTGCCAGGCAAAATCACTTAAATGTCCAGTTTTTCCTTTTAGAACCAGGCACTCTGCTTTCCTACATGAAAGTCTTTAATGCCATGTGTATGTGTGTGTAGGTGGTGAATATTTTCTCATGTTCTTCACACTGATTAGCCCTGGTAGGTATATCTGAACCACATTTTCTAAAATAAGTTATAGAAAATATATTTTACCCCTTTTCTTTCTTTGTTTTTGAGAGACCCGCCCTAGATGTCTGAGCACAAGATTAGCCTTTGTAGCCTACCGCAATTTCATATCCCCATTCAGACTTTGGACTGACACCTCCTTTATCTTCTCCCTGTAGAAGAAATGCTGAAGGAAAGGATTCAAAGTAATCTTTCTGTATTAGAGAAGATATAAATTATTAAATGGGGAATAGGGATGTTCCTTCCAATTTACCTAATCAAACAGAATTTGCTTCAATGTGCTTTGGCTCAGACCCTGCATTTCCAAATGCCCATCCCAACAACATGCACTGTGCTCAGTGTAAAACCCAAGGGCAGTCTCTTTGATTGTTCCAGTATCCTGGTCCAGGAACTTGGAACAAGGGCTAGCCCCACACTCAGGGAGTTTTTTCTGAAGGCTCTCTTCTGAGAGGGAAGCTCGGAGTCCAGGGATTCATGGGGAAATTAAGTTCCCATCACAGCCAGTTCAGCAAAAGGAGCCCTCATCAGTAAAGGCATCAGCTGCAAGGCCCAAGATTCAGTGTGCAGCCTCTCTCTCCGAAAGCATACCTCAAACTGCCTTGCCACCTCAACTGCTGTTATTTTGGTGACAGAGCAATAGGGAATGTGGACAGAGAGAGAGAGAGTGTTTTGCTGAGGAGGGGGTCTCTACATGATTATCAGTGTGTACTCTATACTAGGAGGCATTGGAGACTGAGTGATATTCATTAATTTATTATTGTTGCGGTAGTGCCCAGGAGCATTAGTCATGGACCAGGATCCCAGGCACTGTACAAATACAGAACAAAAAGACAGTCCCTGCCCCAAAGAGGTTCCTGTTACAGTAAGATTTCAGACTGGCAGCAGTGAGGTGCCATCTCTGTGATCCAGGGGTTCTCTTTCTGCCTTAGAGTTGGCCGCATTGTCTGAACCATCTCTGGCTCAGAAACAAGGAGGGGCTGTCCCTCAGTGCACCTCCCTGGGCTCTTCTCCCCACAAACATCGTTCTGTTGGTGCTATCGACTGGCCCTACCGCAATGCACAAGGGAGTTAACGCTGCTACCAGCATTATCAGCACACGTAAAGTCTACAAGCAGCATTAGCTTCCAACAACTTCTAATATGTAACACAAACCATTTGACCCTGGAAAGAAGTCACCAAGAGCACCTATTCACCAGCTTCTTGCCTCTCCCTGGACACACATCTTTTTCTCTGCTGCCCATGGGCCGTGCAGATCTTTTGCAGAGACTATGGCAGCTAGAAAAGATGATACTGTCCCTGCTCGGCAAAGGCCTCCTATGGTTTTTTCCTGAGTGTTTTCTCCCCTTTGCACCGTACAGTGGGGAAAAGTATAAGGCTCTTTGTAAATTGTAATGGGTTTTTGAGCCCCCACATTTTGCATATTCCTTTAATGTGCGTGCATATTATGGGCTTGATCTAAAGTTCACTGAAGTCAATTGAAAGCTTATAATTAATTTCAATAGGCTTTGGATCAGGACTTATGTGCTGCCATCTTGGAAAAAATCAGAGTCCTAAAAACGGGAGAACTTTAAAAAGGTTCTAGGCCTGATTTTCTAAACTGTGGGATTGATTCTGGTCTTGGTGAGCCTGGATTTATACAACCTTTACTCCGGTGACTTAAGTGGAGCTCCTCATGAGCTCACTATAGGGAATCTCACAATCAGATCCTTTGTGCATAAAATTAACAAATGTGATTCTATATTCAGAACAGGCAATTGAACAGCGAGTGGCCAGTTGGGTGCATACCTGACCACTTATAGATTTAGTTGTCCAAATTTGGTATGCAGCTCTGCACACATTTTTTGCATATACAATTTCATATTTTCAGCTTAGAAAAGCAGGCCCTCTGCATTCAAAACACTTTCCATCCAGGCCGTTTTAATCTTTCTAGCTGTTGCTGTTTGCTGCATGCCTTCCTGAAACTAATGCCAGGCCTTGACCCTCCTCTGATTTGAGTGTATTTATTTGTTTTTACACACCTAGGGCCTGAGCCTATTCCCAACAGAAATCAAGGGCAAAATTCCTGATTTCAGTGTTGCAGGAAATCTAGCTGCCACAGAGGTCTCAGGAAAGATAATTATCAGCACACTTAACTCACTAGTCTAATGTTTTTGGAGCCTTCAGCTCTTGTAAAAGAAAGCCAAACATCCTCACTAATGTCATTTATATTTTAAAGGAGACATTTATAGACTACAATGGTTTACATTTGTTTATGCCACTAAAACTTCCAAGTAGGGTGCCCAGATGACCCGATTTTATAGGGACTATCCCGATTTTTGGGTCTTTTTACCCTCCACCCCCGTCCCAATTTTTCACATTTGCTGTCTGGTCACCCTACTTCCAAGCCTACAAAGGTCAGTTGGGTTTGAGATCTGGTCACACACAACACATTCCCACAACCACAGTGATTTCATAGGGAAATCCAGACAACTGCAGATTGTTTGATTTAACTCTAGGGGGCACCAGAGACACTGTTTTGTTTTGTGGTCGCATGTCACCTTACTAGTTTCTGTCTGATGGAACCCCTGGTGTCTATCATGTAGGATTAAGTGACTGTCCATATTTACTATGTATGTGATTAATGAATAAAAGAGCCAAGCATAGTAATGGTTCCTTTCAGGCAGAGGCAAACAGTGATATTAACTAGATTAACTAAAAAAAAAGAAAATTATTATGAAATATGAACAATTATTATTTATATAGAACATGACGTTTTCTAATTAATGTATATTGTCCCTGACTGGGCCTGATTCACCACTGTTCCGCATCCTGTGTAATTCTTTACACTTGTGCAAAGTGGGTATCTAAAATGCTACCAGAGCAGAATGGTAGGAGTTTATACCCACTTAGTAAATGACTCTATAAGGGGCAAGGCACTGGAGAATCAGCCTTGTTATTTCTGCAGTGAATAAATATGGACTGAAGCTGTTACTCATATTAGTGTTGTAGCAGCTATAAAGCTCTGGACCATCACAGCTGCTTCGTGCGGTGGTGTTCTACCTGCAAAAGTCCCAGCACATTAGAGAGACAAGATGGGTGAGGTCATATCTTTTATTGAGCCAACTTCTATTGGTGAGAGAGACAAGCCTTAAAGCTTACCCAGAGCTCTTCTGCAGGTCTGGGAAACATGCTTACAGTGTCACAGCTACATACAAGGTGGAACAGATTGTTTAGCATAAATAGTCCAAGAAAGTGTTTGTATTCATGAGATGGATGCTTCAGACTTTCACCTCTAGAGGGGGATATATGACCTTTGTTCTATTTTCTACTTTATTCTACTATTTTTTTCCCATTTCCTTTAAATAATAATTTTCTACCCTGTTACTATAAATATGATTTTAGCTAGAAACAATGTATTATGACAATACATTATAGGGATCCTTTACAGGGTATGCATTTAAGAAAAAAAACATTTTCTGTATTTTGAAAGGAATTGGGCACTCTTGTATCCCTCTAGATATTTTTTAAGCATGGCTGTACCTTCAAATATGTACAAAATTGAAAAAGGTAGCTGTCATATTCCACTATGTATTTCAGTAGTGGAATTAACTAGCATCGTTGTCAAATTTGGTATGAATACCACATATATTTGATTAAACATTCAATAGATAACTTATTTCCTAAACAGGTAGCTGAGATATAAGTAAAGGATGAAATTCTTTCCTAGTATAATCCTAATGAAATCAATGGATTTCAATTCAGGGATGAATTTGGCCCACGGTGTCACTTTTGAAGAGGCTTATTTTTAAGTGTTATGAGTGTTTTTAAAATTACAGAGAAACTTACCATCAGCTTCTCTAAATAAAAAATGGGTGTCTAGATTAAGATGCCTGCATTTTAGTCTTCTGTGGTTCTGTAGACTTGTGAGTCTCAGCAACTGGTGGAGAAAAGGCCTACTTCACAGCAGAAATGATCACTCATTCTCTTTGTCTTGTAATTTACAGAGAGTTTGAAACACTGGACCTTGTGGAAACTGCTTTGTAATTAATAGAAGTGAATAATTGTTTATGGCAAAAAATACCAAGAATACATGTCAGGAAATATTATTTTAGTTAGAAGTAATGTTTACATGCATTTCATGTAATTGGCTAATGGTTATTACTATCTAGCAGCATATTATTATCAGGCTAAAATATTGGGTCCTGAACTTTATGCATGTGGGCCTACACATGGTGCTTAAAATTAATCATGTGTGTAAGTCTTTGCAGGACCTGTGGCTTGGATTGTGCTAAAGTTAAAAACATTCAGCAGAGCAATTGGTTGATAGGCAGGTAAATTACTGTTAACAATGAACCAATGCAAAACTTACAGAAGCCAAAAAAGCTGAAGTACTTGATACAAGTTATTGGTTAGTCCCACAATGATTCCCGTGGAAGTAACAAGAATATCTTCTTTAAACAAAAATCTCCTAATATTTGTTTAATTTCTCTCAACATCTGAAGCAGAGGCAATCCTTTCTAGATGCCAAATCCTGGAACTGATCTGATAGTCTGTTTCGCACAGTGAGCGAGAGAACCACATTTCATACCTGAGATGTCACATTTATATGAGCTCTGTAAGCAATTACTTAATCAGGAAACGCTTTGTTTCCTTTTGCCAGAGGTGAGGTTCAGATGGCCTAGTGCTTGCTTCATCTTTCATGGAGTCAGGGACAAAGGTGCAGAAGCGAGAGTATGAGCCCTGCAGAGTGTTTACAGCTCCACAGACCCCTGCCACAGGTGCTGTACAGGACCTGAGATCAGAAAGAATGAAGGGGAGATGTCATAACAAGCAGAATAGTGTTGAAGTGATACCCACTCCCCATAGCAAACTCTGTCTCTCAGTCACAGAGAGATTCTGGGTATAAATGATGCTGAGCGCATTGTATGTATGCACTGATGTATGATGTATGCTGGTTTGCCTTGCCTTCTCCACTTCTGCTTGCTCTCCATAGGAGATGAATGAGCAGCATGGACACATATGCTGCTGTGCAGGGGTGGGGGAAGGCAGGAGCTAGCAGATCTTTCTAGTGTTGGCCCTGGCTCTAGTAGAGCAATTCTCAACCTTTAGTCACCCGGGACTCCCAACGGAGCCAGTTTTTGCTAGGTGCCTCTCCTGAGCCATGAGCTGTAATACTTTGGTCTAATTTCAGTTTTTGGGTTTAGTGTGTGGGTACTGCATGGTGCTGGTGGCCTGTGATATACAGCAGGTCAGACTAGAAAAGCTGGTGGGCCCTTCTGGCCTTCAACTTTGCAGGTGATATTTTTATGATAGTTAATATACATGTCTCTTTTACAATATATTTGTGTATGTTTTCCAACAATGTCTTTGCAATGTGTTCTCTGCGTGGATCACCACACATGCCTGGCAGTGCCAGGGGCTTTTCCCTAACTTGGGTCACTAAATAGAGCAAGTTATGTTAATAGCAGCAAATTTTGCTTCAGTTAATGGGGACCTTTTTAAGCCCCTTTTTCAGGCGTGTGGCATATCTAACTTAGTTCACTTTTTGCCTACTGTCCAAGTTTTTTCTAGCGGCAGGATTCGACCCTCTGTCATTAACTGGGGCAATGATGGCTGGGACTAGAAGGCTGGCCTCTGGCTTCCAAATGTTGTTATTGAGACATGAACAGAACTTAGGAGGGTATCTCTTGAACTAATACAGAGGCTTTCACATTTAACAATTATATCACCTGAGAAGCATATTTTGTTGTTTTCTGACATAGGAGTAAGATTTGGAAACAATGGTTTCTAGCAGCAACACAAAGGATTCACCATTTTGTGGCAGGCATCTGGACTGATTCATTTGACAAAGGTCATGAACTGCCTCTAGGGATGTCAAGTCAGGTCCTTGGCTACCTTGGATCTCATTTTGCTTTGACATGTGTCTTGGCCATAAAGAATGCTGTGGCTGCTGAGTTGCAGAAATCCTTCACAATATCTTTGTTAAATGTACTTTTGTGACCTCTAAAAGGCCATAAAGACAGATTGCCATAAGCAATGGCAAGAATTTTCCAGACAATGTAGAAATTATGAATAGAAAATAAAGATGAATAGATAGAAATACCTGGTATATATTTCCAGATTCACCTTAGAATTATTTGTCTTTCCGTCATACGTCTTTGAAAAGTAAAGTATTTCCAAATGAATAGCAAGCTACCAAAGATCAATACAAGCTAATTCATTTTAAAGCAGTGATGGCTTTTATAGGAGATGCAGTTAGGACTGCAAAATATTTTCCAGTATATTTTATTTTGCCAGTAACCTGTTGAACTGTGTCACTAGGAAATTAGAAATGGGCAAACCCGCTCTAGAAACTGGATACCATCTTCTTCTCCCACATACCTGTGCACAACTCTTCACCTGTTTCAAAAAATGAACGCAGACCAAATTGTTGCCAAGGTTCTGAAATAGTGTATGGCCTATTGTTATGATCTGAGTTACCTTTTTCATTTAGCTAGAAGATGGCAGTGGCGTACACTCATGTGTTGATGTGACTGGATTATAATTTTTGTTATTACTGAGAACTTCCTCGGTTAAAAAGTCATTTTGCTGAACAAGGCTGTTTTTGTGTCTTAGTTGTAGTGTATAGTAGTTTGGTAATGGTTATTGCGACTGTCCCACTTAACCTCTTTTTGCTTTTCTGCCTATGTTCTTCCCATTAATAGGCATGACTTTTTAGGTGCCAGGTATCAATTTCTGATGCTACATTGACTGCCTGGGCTCTGAAGGTTAATTTATAGTTTATACTTAGGGCCCTATCAAATTCAAGGTCCATTTTGGTCAATTTCGCAGCCAGAGGGTTTTTTAATTGGTCAGTTTCACTATTTCCGATGTTTAGATCTGAAATTTCATGGTGTTGTAATCATGGGGGTCCTGACCCAAAAGGTGATTGTGATGGGAGGAGGGGTCACAAAGCTGTTGTAGGGGAGTCATGGGATTGCCACCTTCACTTCTGTGATGCCTTCATAACTGGGCAGCAGCCCCAGAGCTTCCTGTAGGGGGAAAAGGCTCCCAGAGGTGGAGGTGAATCTCATCTCCCCGTGCTGCTGGGAGCTCCCCCACTGGGGGCTCCTAGCTGCTAGCCCCAGCCAGTGGTGGATTAATGCAGGGGTGCTCCGGCAGCCTCGGGGCAGAAGCCCCGTGCCTGGGTGCCCCAAACTGCAGCTGGAGCTGTGGGGGCCAGAAGCCCCAAGTCCAGCTCCAGGGTTGCTGCAGCACAGAAGTGAGGACTTATCACCCTCACTGCTGCGCTGCCTCTGGCAGTAGATCTGATCTCCCCACACAGAATGGCCATGCAGGGGAAGGACAAGTGCCATCCCTCCCCAGCCCAGTCAGGACTAGCAGCTAGGAGCCCCTGGCTGGGGCACTCCCAGAAGCATGGGGAGATCAGATTTCACAGGGAAGGGCTTATTTCATGGTCCGTGACATGTTTTTCACAGCCATGAAATTGGTAGGGCCGGATTTATACTTCATATTACTGTGCTGTTTCAGTCCGTACTACTACGCTGTTTAAATAACTTTTCATTTTCAAAGCATGTGTGATCAGAGAAAGATACACATTTCTCCAGTGTTCACACAGAGGGCAATAAACTTATGGAGGGTTGTGTTGCTACATGATAGGAACTTGTTTTTACATATCTCTATGAGGAGATACCCAGTGACAAAATTCAAGATGAGTTTGTGGAGGAAATAGCCATACTGTGCATATCTGAGCAATTTGTTCTTGGGCCAGAACTATGTTTACTAGAGCTGGTGAAAACTTGGAATTTCCATCCCGTGGAAATTCTGACATTTTAAAATTCCCTTGTATCTTAAATCAGAGCAAAAAGTCAAAATGGCAGAATTTCCCTTCAAACAAAATTTCTGAAAAAAACGACCTTATCAAAGGGCTTCATTTTGACTTTATCACTTCAACTATTCTATCCTATTCAAGTTGAAATCATAAAATAGCAATGAAGCACTTTGACCTCATTGTAATGAAATGTTTCAATAACTTTTCATTGAAAATTTCAACAGGATCAATACGTTCCAGTGAAATGTTTCTATTTTGTTGAATCAGCTTTTTCCAACAGAAACTAGTTCCACTGGAAATTGTCCAGACAGCTCTAATTTTTACAGAAAGAAGTACAGTATTCATAGCTGGCCAGAATGAGTCTGCTCTGGTTCAGGGGACTACAGACCATGTCCAACAGTTAATTAATTAGCAGTGCAATCCCCAGCTCAGCACTTATGTTTGTGGCAGACAAAATAGGATACATTTTTTACATCCTGGTAGCAGTGTTAATCTCAGTACCTAATGCCACCAGTGTGAAAAGTCAGGCCATTTCAATCAAGCATGCTGCAGTCCTCACTCCAGCAGTGAACTAGATATATTACAGTTCACTGATTATGGCCATTGGCCTCGCCTTGTTCATAAACCTCTTTGCTACACTGACATTTGCACTCCTGGAGGAGAGCTGCATTTCACTGAACTGCTACTAGATTGTGGGTCAGCTGTGGTCAGTGTGACTCTGCTTACCTGCAATGTTTTCAGGCAGTACCGTTTAGAGATCCTAGATGATATTTAGAGCTGTGAAAATAGTGCAAAAAATATTCTGTAAATAGTGGCAAGGTTTAGCAAATACATTAGTTGTTGAATAATATGTAACCATTACTAGAAATTATCTAACTAGCGGGTGGATAGAAAGTACACAAGTTGTTGAGCCCCAAGTCGTATCGATCGTTTGCATTTGCGATGAGTTAACACTACACAGTACAGATGAGATAAGTGGCTGATGGTTTCTGTTGAGCTTCAGGTTTGTTCAGTATGTTCCAAACCCTTCTGCCAGGTGGATTCAGCAGCAACAAGGGCTAGGATCAACTCCTAGGGGTTGCTCTTAACAATACAAAACAGAACTAACACAAGCCCACACCCAGTAATCTGGGGACGCTAAACACCACCTGTGGATGCCTCTAAGAGGCAATACTTCCCTGCTCGCAAGCACTGAGTCTGTGTATAATAAAAGAAAAAACTTTTATTTAAAGGGAAAGGGAACCAAGCATTAATCTGGGAAAATACCACAAAAGTGTGTAACCATAAGCAAACACCGCTCCACAGTGCATTGGGCGGTGTCCTTTGCCTCAGTTTCCCACCTTGCAGTGTGAAAGCCTGACGAATGTCTGTTTACTATGCCACTCCCCTTTCCCTCCACTGCATTCCACTCAGAGTTGGTTGTCCTTAATCCCTGAAGAGCCAGAGGCTGTTATTGCTGCTACTGCTAAATACCACTTCTGCAATGCCACATAGTCCAGCTCTTAGTGATTGCCCTGGGTAGCGGGGAACCTCTGTGCAGCCGCCTCTTCATTGTCCTTCACTACAGCATCGTCCCCATGCAGGTCTAGGGCTAAGCTCATCAGGGATTTCAGCTCTAGTGAAACAAGGACTCTCAATTGAGTCCAAGGGCAGCGCCAGTCTCTTCCTGGTGGTGGGAGGGCTGAGCTGGGCCTTTCTTAGCCCGCCCCCTCACCACGAGTCCCACCCCTGCTCCTCCTCTCTCCCCCCACCCCAAGGTCCCACCCCCTGACCACATCAGAGGCCGGAAGCCAGAGCTGGGCAGTGCACACTGCTGGCTGCTCACTGGGGGATCTGGCTCAGGAGGTGGCAGAGCCCATGGGGGATGGGGCCCAGGTAGGTCATGCCACTGTGGGGAGTCCCAGACCTTCCACCTGCCGTGGGCAGCACACAGCTAGCAGCTGCTGCTCTCTCAGCTCTGCCTTCAGAACTGGGCTGCCAGAGAGCAACAGCTGCCCTGGGGGAGGCGGGTCTTCAAGAGGGTGATACCGCAAACTTTGGGGTGGCTATAGCCCATACAAGCCCCTACCCCAGCACCCCCTCTGATTGAGTGTAATCAGCTCTGTCTTTAAACTATGGAGAGAGGAGGGTAAGATGGTTTCTAGGACTCTTTAGTCAGAATCCACACCAGCAGGTAGGAACACCTGTCCCCATCCCCCTAGCATCATCAGTGGGATTGGGCATTGCTACCTCCTGCTCAGTGAATGAGGTTCAGTTTAGGGTGACCCACTCAGTCAGGGCATGCTAAGTACAGTTCTGCTGCCCTTTACTCATATAATAAGGATAAGAACATTTCACTCTCCCTGCATTCATTACTAAAGTGAATTTTAATCTAGCACCAACCAAAATTGATCGCTTTGGCAAAGTAGGTCTGCCTGCTAAACACCAAGGCAGAGTAGATGCGTCTTTGAAATAGTCTGCTCCTGATGTCGTTTTGCCCAGTGCGTCACTAGATGTTAGGGAGAGATCATTCAGACCCTGCTTACGCTCATCAGATGATCAAAACAAAGGCTCAGAGATCTATCTTGGTAGCCAGGCATAGCTTCACAGGTGGAGAGTGCAATAAAATCCTGTGTGATTTGCCAGATACATGCCAGGGAGTTTGGAGATGAGGGTGAGAGGATATTGATGCTCTACAGCTAATGCCGAGGCACAGAACCTGCACACAGATAGTTCTGGTCTTCTGCAGGTCCCCCACAATTCACAAGATTCAGTGAGAAGCTGTTGGGTCTGGAGGTGTAACCATGACTTGTTCTATGTACAGACAAACCCTGTGTCCCCGATTGAATGATTACTGATGGTCTCTGAAACAGGAAGTGGGTGGAATAAGGGGTTGGCAGGCCCTGATTTGCAGATCTGGATTCATGACACTGCCTACTGGTTCCTCCAGCTGACTCTAGGAGAAGTATTGGACTCCAGAAGGAGTTGAATTCTTTGCTAGATAGTGTTACAGTGTTGTAGGGCTTTAAAAGGAAAATAAATGAAAAACTGGGGTGATCTTTCCAGCTCCAAGAAGGACTTAAAAGGACTCTGTGTGGTGACAAAAAAGATTAAGATGCTTTAAAACTACAACTTTTTAGAATAACATTTCTCTATAATTGTCTTTATTTACACAGTTACTAAACATTTCAATAGATTCTCATAAAAAAAAGCAATGTAACTAATGCTAAGATTAGTACACAAGTCATTCAAAACAAAGAAATTCAATTAAGGTGAAAAATATGCTCTGGGTCTTGGACTATCTAGGTCCCACCTGCTTGCTTTCTTCCTGTTTTGTACAGAACTTAATTTCAGTGCCCATGCCAGATAGACAACCCTGGAAAATGTAGCATTTGCCTTATCCTCAGAACAAATACAGTACCGTTCAGTGGCACTGCAATCTTCCCTCCACTGACTGATAACATGCCCAAGTGACGTGAAGTGACTGTCTCTGTACGTGAGAGGATGAGCTGTTTACATGGCCCACTCCTTCTTTGAGTTCTCTGCTGAGGCTTCCAGTAAAAGGTTCTAATCAGTGGCAAATATGCTGGTGACTCTTGTGATGTCATGTTCAGTTCAGAGAGAAATGGACTGTTACCATCAGCTCATTCCACATAGACTCCCACAACAGCGGAGATAGTAATGCCTTTGAATCACTATCAGTCTGGGCTGGATTTGAACCAGTGACCCAGGGGTCAAAAGCACAGTATTCCATTAACAGTGCTGTACATCTTCTAATACCTCATCATAGATTTCCTAGGACTAGACTGTAGCTGGCCCCTATGTAGGTGTGATAGGGCAGGTGAGGGTTCAAGCAACTTTCCTCCTTTCCTCATCCCACGTCCCCAGGACCAGCCACAATCATAATCCACACATTTTCTTGAATGCAGGCACTTCTCTTTGCTTGCATACATTGGGGAAACTAGTTACCTCAAAGGTAACTCACTGTGCATTGCTTATGTAGAAGCCCATATCCTGTAATCCCTGAAGGCCTAGATGAGGCATCATTCCTCCCAGTGCCCCAACATATAGTTTTAGGCACCTTGGAGGATCTAGGCTTAGGTACTCTTGGTTTCCCATTGTGAGGTAGGTGCCTAGCTTTTAATATCTCATTATCTCAAATAGGGCTGGACAGAATATGAATTTCCTTCTTGCTATGCAAAAATGTACATCAACACAACACTTCCCAAACATTGGCTGGGCGCCTATATACCAAAAGGAGTTTCTAGTGGAAATCCTGAAACTGGAGATAGGCAGGTTCAATGGGCCAAGTTAAAGGGAAACATCGGACATACTTCTTAAAAAAAAAAAAAAATGGATAGAGCCCTATTAGAAGCAGATATCTGATAGCTCAGTCACTGAATATCTCTGTTGCCCCAAGGTCTTTTAATCTGAACCTGCCTGAAACAATCTTTACTGTTGATGCTGTACTAAACAACCTGCAAAAATACGAGGCCTGATTCTCATTACACAAAGGGCCCCCCTCTCTGGCAGTAAAGGAGCCTTAGAGTGGATGTAAATGTAATTTGCTCCGGCAGTATAAAGAGGCCTTAGCAGGTTTGGCAACTCTCACAATTTTATCACGAGTCTAGCAATATTGGATGTTTTTCTTAATGCCCCGATTCCTGGAATCATGAGGATATTTAAGAATGTCAGGTTTTGTTTTTTAAAAAGATTAAGTTTCTAGCCTTTATGTTTGCAGAGGGAAAACTTGTAAACATGACACAAGCATACCCTAAAGGTTCAAAAATCAGGGAGTGAATAAAAAGAACCCAAAATGTATTTTAAAAAACACATATGTGTTTTTTAAGCCAATCTCATGATGATGGGAGGGGAAGAAGGGGAGAGTTCATGACTTTTGAAAGCCAGGATAGCAGGACTGCTTTAGTGTAAATCAGACATGCAGCATCTGTTGATAGAACTTACAATTTCTTGTGCTTGTATCAGGCACGTATCATAGAACCATTGCCACTTTTCACAAATTTACGTTTATTGTGGCCAACATTTTCAAACCTGAGTGCTGAAAGTTAGGCTCCTAAACCCAGAGGTAAGCCCCTAAATAATAGTTAGATACTTAATGATGGATATCAGAACCTAACTTGAGGCACCCAGGTTTGAAAATGTTGGCCCAAAGCCACACCAGTTAGCAGCCCTGTATAAGTAAAGGCAATGATAAGAGTTGTATATTGTTTCCAATATAAACCCCATGGTTGCAAAGATTTATAACTCCTCCATAACCATAGATGTTGACAGGTAGTATTAAACTACTCTGTATAGAAATGTTGGGCTTTACATTTTTCTTAATAGGTTAGATAGTGACTCAGACTATACTCGCAGGCAAGGGAATAGGCAGTTGCGTCCAGGAATATACAAATTAGTGGGTCTATTTGCCCACTTACTGCCTTCCTGGAAAAGGATGGGGAATAGCTGGCACCTTGGGTCCATCCCCCTCTGCCTGCTGGCATGGGGCTTGTTACCTATTGCTGGCATCATTTAGAGCAGTGGTTTTCAACCTATGGACTACGGACCCCTGGGGTCCAGAGACTATGTCTAAGATTTCCAAAGGGGTCTGCACTTCCATTAGAAATATTTTAGGGTTGCAAAGGAAAAAAGGTTGAAACCCACTGGTTTAGAGGTAAATTATTACCAGCAAGGAGGGAGCGGAGAAGGAATTGTGTCTCACGTGTGTCAATGAGGCTCAATGCCTCCAGCTGCTACATGTAGATTGGTGCCTGAAATCACAATCTAGCACAGTCTTT